GGTGGCATCTAAAATGAAGACTGGAAAGGGGAGCACGGGCTGCAAGTTAACAATATTTGTTGAAGTACCTTCCGTGTGCCTGAACCACGCTCTTGCCAGACTAACTCATCGTCACACCACCACTATCTCCACTTTACAAAACAAGGAGCCTGACCACAGACAGACTTCCTCCTTGGGAACTGGACTTGAATCTATCTGATTTGAACGTCCATGTTTTAAAGCACACCACCTCTCAAGCATTCTAACCCAAGAGAGGTCGGTGACATTGGAGGACTTTCTCTGGCAACGTTTGTGGAACACATGATAGCAGCAATGGCTTGCATTGCAATTTCAAGGGGGAAGTCAAAGCAAGAAACAAAAGAGCAGGGAAGAATCGGAATCATTGGGCAGATCCTCCTCCTGGGTCTGAGTTCTATGATGCTAATAGAATCTGGCCTCTACGGCGTTAACTCCGTGTACTGTCTTGGCTGAAGCTGAAGGAAACAGTGTATAAAATTGCAACTAAATGGTGTTGACACCTCAACAGAAAACTGGGGGAAAGTCAGAAAATTAATTCATGGGAGAAAAAAATGTAAACGGCAGGTAATTTTATGTGAAAATTCCATTTAGCTAAAAAAAAAAATCAAAGAATTTCTGATGAAACTGTACAATGAAAATCTAAACAAAGATTTTTAAAACTCTGAAAATTGTGTCAACATCCCAAAATAGGCCACTTATCTTAAAAATATGCATGGTCATACAATGGAATGCCAGGCCAGCATTAACATTACGTTTGCCAAGAATATAACACTCTATGATGACAGAAGAATGCTCACAATATACTGAAATGAAAAAAGCAGGAAACAAAATTGTATAAATAATACAAAACAACTGAAAAATGTATGTTTGCATATAGACAGAAAATATGGGAGAGAAATCTCTCAGTACGTGAACTGTTTCTTTCTGGGTGGCTATTATTTTTGTCTTTGTTTTTCTTTTCCATGTATTCTGACATTTCTAAGTGAGTATGTGCTCTTTGTGGATGAAATGCCCAACCAGGAGTCGGGATTACCAGCTGGCTGAGTCCCATCACTACAAAGCCACAGCTCTGAAGTAAAGGGTTCAGAGCAAGCTAGATGGTTCTCAAAGACAACGTTTCATCAGACATGTCATTCATTCAACAAGCCTCTACAGAACACCTCTACTGAACTATGTACCCCGCACCACCCCTGGTGCCTTCCAGAGCCAGACCATACCACCCCTGGTGCCTTCCAGAGCCAGACCCAGCCAAACTGGACAACAGTTTGAACTTGGTGCCTCCTGGTATCATTTTATTTGCACTTTTTCTGCCTAAGCGTTTAGTGACCTTACATTCTTTCTCTACTCCCCTTCCCTTTATCAAACCTTGTTCTCACTCAGAACTCAAATTTGGTCAGACGCAGGTACAAGTGATTGGCAATATTTTAAAGGACCTGCCCGTAGGACTTTAACCAAGTAGGAACAAAAACCCTACCCTAAAAGAATGAGGCCATCACGGTCAAATTCTAGGAAAATTTGGTGGGGAGATACTTGAGTGTTGTCAGAATCCTTCCTCTTGCAGTTCCTTCCCCAGCCCTTGCTTCTTGCCTGGTAAATTCTACTCATTGTAACAAACCAGTTCTTCCTTGTCATGCCTTCCACTTCTCTCCCAGAGAGTGGGGCTCTTGTTTGTGCTCTCAGAGAACCTTATAAGCCTCTCTATTATTACAATGAGCCCCTTGCACTGTAGCTTTTGTTTGCCCTTCTTCCATAATGGGCCATGAGGCACCCAAGTGTCTCCTTTTCCTGTATCCACAGTATCTCTCCCCCACCCAAACCCCAACTTGCAAGTGACAGATGTATGTGTGACTGATCAGCATTTCAAGACCCCAAGTCGGGGAATGCCTCCTCACCCTGCAGACAGGGCTGCTCCTGGGTCTTTTCATGGTCATCCCTTAGAGTGGCAGGCAAAATCCTTTCGAGGGGCAGGAGCTATGGTCAGCTCCTTTAGGTTTTTGTCAGAACGGGGCAGCCCTTACATGACAAGTTATGAGATCCTAATCCCTAAAATTCTCTTAGCTGGCGGGGGGGCGGGGAGGGGAGTGACAGCTCATCATTGTAGAATGAAATCGGTTTAATGGGTTGGAATCAATATTTTTTAATTGAAAAAGATTCAAAATGACAAGAACAGAACAGAATGAAATAGAAGAAAAAGAATTTTGTTAAAAATCCAAGTATTCCCCAAACAGTAATTGTCCCTTGAAATCTCTGTTTCCTGTGTGTGTATGCATGCATGTGTCCACAAGCACTAGGTCATAGTGAGTTACGATAGAAACGTCGGAAGCCACCTCCCTGAACAAGTTGGAGGAAAGGAGCCCACTGTCCCTGCCCTGTCTGCCCCTGCCTGAGACCTCATTCCTGTGGACATTCGCTGGGAGCTGTCTCCTCTTCTCTTAGCCCCCAGCAGCCACAGCCCCGAAACTGGCAGAGAATTTTCCTTAATGCAGCTTGTGGGGGGGGGCAGGGAATTAAAAGGACAAAATAACTGTTTTGATGAGGAGGGAAAGATAGAGGCTTACATCCCTTTCTTTCTACCCATGGTATTCCCAGAACCATTTTTGTCCTGGACTCTGAGGAAGAGTCTGCACTTGACAGGTACCCCAGCAAATCCCCCTCCCCTCTCCGGTCATCACTAAGGAAGCAGGGGCTCCTCCCTGGTTGGGACAGCTACGTGACTGGTATCCTGTTTTGGGATGGGGGGGGAGATTGCTCTGTGCTTCTCAACCCTGTTGCTGATACAGCTGGCCTCTCCAGGCCCAGGCCCATGGGCGGAGCAACTTTATTTAAGGCAGACTAGAAAGGATCCTCAACAGGGTATCTAGCAGATAACTAAACATCATCTTATTTGGTTACAGCAGCAGTACAATGCAGGGGCTAAGACCACCTTCGCCTGCACTGATTGAATGACCCTGGGCAACTTACCCTCTCTGTGCCTCAGTGTCCCCTTCTGTAAAATGGGGATAGGAACTATGCCAATGTCATAGAAATACTGTAAGGATTCAACATGTTAACATATACAAAGTGCTTAGAACAGTCTTATTATTGGATAATAAATGTTATTGTTATTTAATTATTTCTTACATAGGTATAATGATTGTTTTTCCCATATTTATAGATAAGAAAAAGAGACTCAGAGAAATCAAGTCCCTGCCCTATATCATGTGCCCAGGAAAAGCAAAGCCAAAATATAAATCTAGATCTCCTGACTCCATGTTCTATGTCCTTCTCCCCTAATGATTCCCACCTCAGCTTCAGCAGCCTGTGGGACATCGCCTAAGTCCCATGGGTCTCTGCCAGGCACTCTTGGATCAAAGGTGTCTGAAGGGATGGTGAGCCCAGGGGAAAGTCCTTTCTCAGGTCTACGTGGCCCTAGGTCTTTGGGGGAGATACGTTCTTGAGGGAGTGTGTGTGTATGTGTGTCCAAGTGTATGTGTGTGCGTGTGTGCGCATGTGTTTTAATATGCTGGGGAATCAGAAATGGGAGATTGTTACTCGTATTGGCATTCTTTCTGAGTTACAGGCTATCAGACAGTGACGAGCATGTGGGGTAGAATCCTTATGTCTTCAAAGAACTTCTTCAGAAAAGTGTCTCTTGATAACTGAGTAGGGCCATTTGAAACAGAGATGACGATGTGAGTATTTCAGGGGCTAAGCAGCAGCTATGCTGTATGTCCTGGTTTCTTCCAGCCTCTGATGTTCCCATATATAGTACAAAGATCTAAAAACTGTCCCTGCTTTCTCTTTGCTTGCAACACAAGAGGGAACTGAATTTCCACTTCCAGCCCCCAGGATAAGCCTGAGGAAAAATATGGTGGTAGTTGTGATGTTTTGAAAATGCTTAGCTTTTTGTCAACCCAAGCTCTCTGTAATAACCACGCCACCATACAGAAGAGCTCTGAAAATAGGTGTTGTATGATCAAGAGACACTTAGGATTCTCAAGTACTTTTTAAATTATATTTTATGATATTTGAGATGATTTTCATGGAATTTATTGGTATCTATTTGGAGGGATTCAAATCTACATGTGTTTGATATATGATAACTTTGTTAATCAAAATATTTGATTCAGTTGAGCTTTCTGATATGCTAGTTAATAAGCTGCTATAATTCTCAAATAGCCCTGTCCCCAGGTTTGTGCCTCAGCTGGGCGTGGGGCTGAGGAGGGATCTTGGTGACTACTAGAATTCCTGGCATTCACAGGTGCTCCTGAAGTGTAAGTAACCTTACACTGTCCAGGAGGCGTTGTGGGAATCGGCCCTGGACCACTCACCAAGGATTAGAGAATGCACCCCCGTGCCAGGCTTACAAACTGGCCATGTAATACAGATAAAATAAGAACTGACTTCAGCATCTGCCCTGAACACACACCAATAACTTTCTGAAAAAAAAAAAAAAAAATCCCGCTAATGAACGTGTAACTAGAGATCTCCGCATATGCACACTGTGCAATGTTGACTGGACCCAAACCCCAAGAGGCAAAGACCACTTTGTGACATTCCCCATCTGACCCATGTGGAGAAGCAAGGTCAAATGCCTCCTGTCTCTCCAGGATCATGGGGAAACTTCCGGGAACAGAGAGGGGGGAGTTAGCACACCAAATGGAACGCACAGATCATCTCTGAATTGCATTTCAGCCAGGCTTTTCAATGATAGATTTAACATCGACTATTACCCTTGAAAAGTCAAGAGGACCATCAGGTGACAGAGTTTAAATCAGAACTATGTGTCGTGCAACACATCTGCCTGCCCCCATTTTAGGAGCCGGGACCCACACTTTGCTCTTCCCACAGCCCAGCTTTGCAACAAGGATATCTTCAGATTCAAACCAGACTAAAATGCAGCTCGACTTCAGGACAGAGTCTCCACACCGGTGTTCCCACCTCCCAGCCGCTGGCCAGCCCGTGCTCCCTGGGACAATGCGGTGAGCAGGTCCCCAGCTTACCTCGAGCACAATTTCTTTCAGTTGGAACTGTTTCTGTGCGACTTTGTCTGAGGACACTGCCTCATGGTAGTAGAGGCAGAGCACATCGTATTTCTTCAAAATCTGCTTGAAGTTCTTCTCCGTGAGACTGACCACGCGGTCCTTGCCGTCATACGTGGGGAAGTTGAGCCCCTCTTCTGCCCGGCAGGAGGACAGCAGGTAGACCCCCACGATGAACAGGTGCACTCTCTCCATCTGGGAGAAGTTTCTTTTCACTTTCCCAGGAAACCTGAGTGCGGGAAAGCGGCCGGAAGACTCCAGAGGACTGACTGAGAAAAGTGGGGAGCAGAGAAGTGGATTCGGTCCCTCCCCTCTGTCCCTCCTGGGCCCGAGGACCAACTCCCCAACTCCTGGGCTCCAACAAGCAGTACTCTTGGGCTCAGGACACACGCTTGCAGAGACTGAGGGCCAGGCTGAGCAGCCAAGCCCCAGATACCTCGCATAGCTCGGCCCAGCCCCTGTCTCATCAGGAACTCCATTTTTAGGATGCAGTTGTTTCAGGCTAAAAATAAATCATGCAATGAATAAAAAAGTTAGATATGCCTCTGTTGAGGGATTCGCTGATACAGTCTGTCAGAGGGGTAGGAAGGGAGGAGGCAGGACGGAAAGAGGAGAACGTGTGCACCAGACATAAGGAGGCCAGCAAGGTCAAGGAAGAGAAAGAGACTCAAGAAGGAGGGAGAGACGATAAGAGGGGAGAAAGATGGGACAGTAGTGGGACAAGTCAATGAAGATGTTTGCACATACACAGGGCCACCCAGACCTCGGATTTGTTCAACTACTATGGGGAGAATATTCAGCCTGTCCCCTCCTAGCAGGCTACTTGTCCCCTAACACTGCTCACACGGGAGCCAAGTGGAGCCCCGAGGTGAGCTTCACATTCTGCACCTGCCTTTCCCTGCCTCCCATCCTCTCTTCTTGGGAGCTTGGCCCCGGCTGGCCGCTGTGCCGTGCATGCTGACATGGCTCTGCCAGGCACTAGGCAAGCAATATAGGGACACCCTGCCTGCTAGCCCACCGGGGGCCACAGTTCCTCTTGATTTGGGCTTAGGCTGTGATGTCAGGGTTCGTGGGATTGAGCCCCATGTCCAGCTCTGTGCTCAGCGGAGAGTCTGCTTGAGATTCTTTCTCCCTCTCCCTCTGCCCCTCCCCCTGCTCATGCACTCTCTCTAAAATAAATAAATAAATAAAATATTAAAATCTATTTTAAAATATTTTAAATAAAATAAAAATTCAACAGTCTTCCTCAGAAACCGTCTTAGATATTTTGGCTACCACCTCTGTCATATGTTTTTTTTTTACCTTAACCCCTAATGTAACATTTTTGCCCCTTTCTTCTTCATTAAGGACAGATTTGTACACAAAGCCTAGAAGCTGGACAGAGAGTTCCAGTCCCCATCTGCCTTTTAATGATTGAATGCACTTTGGAGGGGGTCACTCGTTCTCTCTGGTTCCCAGCTCCCCCCTTGACAAATAACACTCTATTGCAAGGTTTGGAACATACAGATGGAAAAGCATTATTATAAAAATCAAGTGCCCAAACATGGTAGCTATCATACCTAACTTTATTCTTGCTGGAGATGGTAGAACATGGGTTATTATAATACTTGTCAATTTCTAATAATAATGGTTTGTGAATCCTTTCTTATCCATTTTCTCCTTGAATCTAGCAGACAATTGGGGCAGAAGTGATTAGTGTTCGTTTCACAGGTGAGCTAACTGAGATTCAGAGATCAGCAACTTGTCTGAGATTGCCTTATTAACTGCCAACATGAGGACTCGGGAATCTGGTGCTCCTGGCTGCCTTACCTCCAACTCAGGGCAATTCCCTGCAAATACCCCCTTTCTTAAGTGGCTCCTCAACCATCACTTCTGGTTAAACAACAGGCCAGGCATGTCTTTCCACTCTTTAGAGTGGTCAATGGCTCTTATAATTTGGACCAAATTTTTGTCTTTCTTGGGCTGGAAAACCAGCTTTGGGAAGAGTGAGGACTCTTTACAGAGGATTGAAGGAAAAGAGAAGTTTGTCATCCTACTTGAGGGAGACCAGACCCCTCCACTGCATCTGGAGGGCCTTATGCTGAGAGGCAGGGTGACAAGGAGCTGTCAGTCAGGACACTTCATGCCCAGGAAGCCAGGACCTTGGAGAACCCCCATCACTGAAACCATGAAAGCCGTCAGTTCTTTCTAATGGTGAATTCTGTATGCTTTTAAAGATGGAGCCAAAAATAGCCATTCTAAGGCATAGTTAACTTTCCAGGTCATTGGCAAGCATGAGAGATCTCTGCTTTCTTTAGAGAATTTAAGGGGAACAAGATTTCTGAGTGAAAAAATGTATGTGTTGTCTTTTCAAGGTCAGTTTCCCAAAACTGTTCCCATTGTCTCAATCTCGTGGGTTTACCTTTATTTAGAATGTGCCCCACTTTTCTTAATATGTGAGGTTTTTTTTTAATTTTACGGAAAAACTGGGAAATATTTAAAGTCAGAGTCTTTGAATTTCCTGACTTGAAACTGATGAAAAGTATCAAGAGAAAGAAAGAAATTCTTTTAAATATATATATATTTTAGATTTTATTTATTTATTTGACAGAGATCACAAGTAGGGAGAGAGGCAGGCAGAGAGAGAGGGGGAAGCAGGTGTGGAGCTCAATCCCAGGACCCTGGGATTATGACCTGAGCTGAAGGCAGAGGCTTTAACCCACCGAGCCACCCAGGCACCCCAGAAAGAAAGAAATTTATAAAATTTAGTTAAGCCTTCTCTGGCTTCTGATCAACTATGTATTAACAGAAAAAAGCTCCATTGTGGAAAGTTCCTGTCCCCAGATCCTGGACTCTTCTGGGGGCCTCACAGCCCAGCCCTGAGGACACATTCTGTAGAAATCAGGCTTCTCATCCTCCACGGTCTACTTTTTAGGTAACCGCCATTTCTCTGGCTGCTTTTATTTTCTAACTTTTTTTTTTCCCTTTGCTTTCTTGCTCACCAGCTCTAATTAATTCATTTGGTAACCAGGGAATGTTTCTGACATTTCTTAATCAACCTTATATCTACCAGATCAGCTGTTTTATTCTGGTTTTAGCTGCTGTCCCAGTGTATCAAGCACACACTCTTAGTTTTTGGGGATTGTGCTGAAGGGTATGTATCCTTATGTACCTACAGCAGGTATTTTTGCTTTGTTTTGTTTGAACAAGAACAAAATAAACAAATCAATATAAATAGATGCTGATTATTGTCGCAACGCAGTCCCCTTCTTTTTGCTACCAATTTCCAGTCCTCCACTCTGTGAGTGGGAACTACACACAGTCCTTTAATCTAACCTAACCCCTTTCATTTTTTTTTTTAAGTTCTTCATGGGTTGCAGAATGATTATGCATGTTTTATTTAATTTTTATTAATTTAATTTTATCTTTACAATAATTCATTTTACAGATCAATCAGGACTTGAAGCCACGGTCTTTCCTTTATTTGTTAATTGTACTTTTATTGGGCATCTTCTATGCACCAGACACTCTTCTGGGTACTGGGGATTAGTTGCTAATCTGAACTCATTTGAGTTTACATCCTCAAAGGGAGATAGGCCATAATAAAAAATGCCAAATGTAACCGTGGGTTATGTGTGCGCGCATGCGCACGCACATGGGTCTGCACGTGTGCGTGACGTAACGCCAAGTAGAGGCACGTGCTCTGAAAAACGACTGGCAACAAGGGAGAGCCTGTGAGCGTGGCTAAGTGGCTGAGGGTTTGGAAGGATGGTTGAGGCAGGCGTCTGCAGGAGGGAACGTGGGAAAGGAAGGAGAGGGGCATGGTAGGGAGCAGGTTGCTGAGGAAAGCGAGTCGCGGGGAGAAGAGGTATGAGCCTCCACGCTGGAGACCTAGGGGCTCCACCACGAGAGAGCTGTGTCCCCCTGGTCCTTCCTCCTCACCGCGTCCGTCTTCTCGCTCAGACTGTATCTCCCAGGAGAACTTCTGGATTGGTTCACAGCTGCGCTGGGAGGTCTGCAGGGCAGGGACGCGGTCCGAAGGACCCAGAGGCTGCTCAGCGAGAGGGCTGCGACAGGCAGCTGAGGGACCTGGGTTCTGAGCTGGTCTGATGCAGCCTTGGCTGTGGGACCGACCGTGGTCAACACTCGTCACTCACCTCCTGGCCCTCACAGTGCTCACTTGAGGGGACAAGGGCCAGGCTCACTAGTCTCCCTTGGCCCCTTACTGACTCTGAAATGTTTAAATTTGTTAATGTCTGTAGAGGATTTCCTTTTACCAGGATAGGCCTTGGCACAGCCCACAGGTTTGAGAAGTTTGGCGACGCATCTGCGGGAGGAGGGTTGGATGGGCGCGACTCTAGACAAGTCCTGCAACTAGGACTGCGCGGCCTCCAAAGGTCCCTTCTTCGGCTAAAATACTCCACCCCGTGGACGAAGCAGAGTATGGCATTTTCTTTCCTGGGTCCCGCTCCTCCCTCGCACTAGGCCTCTAGTCCGGGAAGTTAGCCTGCTGGCCTGGTAGAGAGTCCCATAAGTGCTTGTGTCTGGAGCCCTGCGTTCCCCAGCTTCAGGCCTGCCTTTAGTAGATCAGAACAGGCCTGTTAGCCACCCTAAGACCTTCCTTTCCTATTGCCTCTGAGTATCAAGCAGCCCCAGGAACTTGCTCCCCAACACCAGGAAACCCCAAACAGAACCAAGCAGGAAAAGACCAGAGCTAGTTGGAAAAAAGCCCCAAAGCCCTCCCAATAACAAGTCCAGGTATTAACTAATGTCACTTCCTCAGGGAAGCTCTCAGTGTAGCCCATGGCCTGACCCTCCTTGTACACAGTATTTCTCCTTGGAAACATTTCTACCCTGGGGATTTTATTTTCTCCCAGCTAGACTGAGCCTCATAGGAACGAGGACAGCATCTGTTCACAGTAATCCTCAAAATTAGTCTGGCCTTTCTCAGTTCTCATTAAATATTTATTAAATAAATTTGAAGCACTTAATTTGTGCCAGGAATTATTCTGAAGTACTTTACAAACTTAAATCATTATCCCCTTTAACAGATAGGTAAACTGAGATACTGGGCGATTAACTAACTATAGGCATAATTATCCCCATTTGACAAGGGGGGTGGGAGCTGAGAATCAGAGCGTGAGTGAGTGATCCTCCAAAGTCTATTCAGCTATTAAATGGCAAAGTGGGGATTGAAACTCATCTGCCCAGCTTCTAGACTGCACCAGTTTTCTATGAGAATGTGGAATCATATATTATCTACTCTTTTTTTTTTTAAGATTATGTTTATTTATTTGACAGACAGAGATCACAAGTAGGCAGAGAGAGCTTGGGGGAAGCAGGCTCCCACTGAGCAGAGAGCCCGATGAGGGGCTCAATCCCAGGACCCTGGAATCATGACCTGGGCAGAATCGAAGGCAGAGGCTTTAACCTACTGAGCCACCCACGCACTCCTATCTATTCTTTTTTTTTTTTTTAGTTTGTCTTCTGCCATTCATCATAATTGT